CTATGAGTGCAAATACCATTATTATTGTGTCAACAAGTCAGCAGATACTTTTTTGCAATTAAGTTTCATGTTGTTACTTAGCAAATTCATAAGAAAACAATTTAAGTCATTCTTAGGGGAAAAAATACATTGAAACAATTGGTTACATTAAAACATATCAAAACGTGACCTATCCTGACTTCAGCCAAAGTTACTTATCCAAATTATATAATAAGTATACATGCTAACTAAAACTGGCAAGCGTATCAATTGAGTTAGAAATGATTAAAGTGGAATCAATTAACTTTCTCCTGTTGCTTCTAGCTTCTATTATAGCACTTATTAGAATTCAAGCTAATGTGTCTATATACAGCTCTTGCATAGTAAGAAGACCACATCCTACACTGGTCCTCTTTCTGCCTAGTTGCTAACCTTCTTACGACTTGTAGAAAGAATTTCCATAAAGCAATAACCAATATGAATCTGTCTTAAGTTCACAAAATGAAATGACAAGCACGGAAAACACAGATCTTGGTAAGGAAGCAAAGACAGAACTTAAGATATCCTCTAAGGAAGCTTCCTGTTCATTTTTCATTAGGTGATGTGTAGCCCAAAAGGAAAAGCACAGTTATGGCAGGTCTGGACCACATAGGTTTGAAGAGGACGTCCTAACAGTCACAAGAGCCACAGTACACCCAAGCAGGTTGAATGGAGCATTCTCATTTGGTGCTCTAGGGCTGGACTCTTTATAATGTTGAAATTGAGGAAATCTCAGTGAACTGAATTAATACCCCATTCTGAAAAAAGAAAAAAGAAAAGAAAGAAAGAAAGAAAAATAAGAATCCCAAAAACTTCATACAGTATTTCAAGGAAGGAATGAGCACTGTGCCAAACAAAAACTAAAACTGAATCTTGCCCATTGGATTAACAACATGAAGGTCCCTGGTGACTGGAGCTGTTCCAGTAGAGTGGTTAAGTAAAACTTGATGGGGTAGGTTCTAGAGAGATTGAGAGGAGAGGAATTTCAAACATTGAGTAGGCAAGCAACAACAACAAAAACAGATAACCTTGACTGTATCAAAATTTAAAACTTTGTGTTGCAAATGATACCATCAAGAAAATGAACTGAGAGCTGGCAGGATAGCTCAGTGGACTAAGGATCTGCCTAGGCAAATGCCTAGACCAGAGTTCTATCCCCAGCACCACATACCATGCTGGCCCTGGCCCTGGGTGCGCTGAGCCAGCCACCAAGACCTGGAGTGGTGGCACAGGCCTACAGTCCCAGTGCTGGGGAGGTTGGAAACAGGAGGATCACTCAAGTCCAAGCTGCATAGTGAGACCCTGTACCAAATACATTAAAAACTTTTATTTGTTTATTTATTTATTTATTTATTTTTTGCTGAACCAGGGATTGAACTCAGGCCCTTGAGCTTGCCAGGCAAGTGCTTATTCTACTAAGCCATCTCCCAGCCCTAAAATGTAGTTAACTTTTTGTTGTTTTGGTGGAACTGGGGATTGAAATCAGTCAGGCTCTTGTGCTTGCCAGGGAAACGCTTATTCTACTGAGCCATCTCCCTGGCCCCTAAAAACATTAAAAAAAAAAAAAAAAGTGAACTGGAGCAGTCAGGCTGGGTGGCACAAGTGTTTAGCCCCAGATATACAGGAGGCTGAGGTATGAGGATCACCTGGGTCTGAATGTTTGAGGACAGCCTGGACAGCACAGTGCGACCTCATCTCAAAGCAGAACAAGTTTTGTTGCTTCTCAGCCTTTTGGCTAAGATCAAGTACAGAACAATTTTATTTTGGGAGTGGGAAGTAGGGTCTTGCTAACTTGGTCAGGTTCAAACCTGTGATCTTCTTATCTCAGCCTCCCAAAGAGCCAGAATTAAAAGCATGCACCACCTGTCTAGTCAAAACAATTTTTTAAAAAATGAGCAAAGGATTTCAATAGCTATTTCTTCAAAGAAAACATGTAAACATATATGTAAAGAGCCAGTAAACACATGAAAAGATGTTCCACCTCACTAGCCAGTTGCGAAAGGCAAATCAAAATGCACAGTGAGGCACTGCTTCCCACCCATCCACATAGGTATTGCCATAAAGATGTAACAAGCACTGTTGAGGATATGCAGATGATTTCTTCCCTGGGCTGGTGGAGATGTAAAATGGTACAGGATTTTGGAATAGAGTTTGGTAGTTCCTTAAAAAGCTAAAAACAGGGCCAGCCAGATAGCTCAGAGGATTAAAGGGCCTGCTTAAGCAGATGTAAGGACGGGAGTTTGATCCCTGGTGTGGTAGCTCCCTCCCATTCCCCCCAGGGCGCGCTGAGACGGCAAATGAGACTGGGCGTGGTGGTGCACCTGTAATCCCAGCTCTTGGGAGGCTGACAACAGGAGGTTCAATATGAGTCTGATCTGTGTAGTGAGACCCTATACTAAATACATTAAAAAAAAATTTTTTTAAGCTAAGAACAAAGGTATCTTCACTTATTCATTTTTCATTTTTTGAGACAGATTGGTTTCCAAGTGATGATCCTCCTGCCCCATGAGTAAAAATAGAGCTACCGGCCAGGGAGATGGCTCAGTGGAAAAAGTGCTTCCCTGGCAAGCGCAAGGGCCTGAGTTCAATCCCTGGTTCAGAAAAAAAAAAAAAAAAAAATAGAGCTACCTTATGACCCAGAAATTCCACTTTGAGGTATACTCCAAGAGAAATAAAAGCATGGGTCAGGCAAAAATCTGTATGTTTTCAAAAAGTTGTCACAGGATTTTTTTTTTAATGAGTTTAATACAGGGTCTCACTATGCAGCTCAGACTCACAGTGATCCTCCTGTTTTCAGCCTCCCAGCACTGGCACTATAGGCATGTGCCACCACATTGGGTCTTGGTGGCGGCTCAGCATGCCCAAGGTGGAGCTGGTGTGGCATGTGGTAATGGGGATCAAACTTTGGTCCCTACTCTTACGTAAGCAGGCACTTAGTCTGCTGAGCTAACTAACTGACCCTCCTAGCAGCATTATTTATAGACAAAATGTTCACCGATTATGGAATAAATAAATGGAAGCGTTATATCCACTTATTGGAGCACTACTTAGCAATAAAAATGAATCAAATACTAATACAAGCTGCAGCATGGATGAATCTCAAAGCACATTATGTGAAAAGAAAGAATCTTGTGACAAAAGAGCACATAATTGATCTTTCCAGCCTCATTTGGACGGCACGAAGACGCTTCTGGAAGGATCACCTCGATGGCCATGCAGGGGGAGCCGCAGGTCCAGTTCAAGCTCGTGCTAGTTGGCGACAGGGGCACCAGCAAGACCACGTTCGTGAAGCGCCACTTGACGGGCGAGTTCGAGAAGAACTACCTGGCCACACTGGGCGTGGAGGAGCACCCGCTCGTGTGCCACACCAACCGAGGCCCCATCAAGTTCAGCGTGTGGGACACAGCCGGCCAGGAGAAGCTCAGCGGGCTGCGCGACGGCTGCTACCACCAGGCACAATGTGCTATTGTCATGTTGAGGTGACATCCGGAGACATCTCCAAGAGCGTGCCTAAGTGGCATAGAGACCTGGTGCGAGTGCGCGAGAACATCCCCATCGTGTTGGGCGGCGACAAAGTGGACATCGAGGACAGGAAAGCGAAGGCGAAGTCCGTTGTCTTTCACCGAAAGAAGAATCTTGAGTACTATGCTATTTCTGCCAAAAGTAACTACAACATTGAGAAGCCCTTCCTCTGGCTCGCCAGACAGCTTATTGGAGACCCAACGTCGCAGATGGTCGCCAAGCCCGCTCTCCTCCCGCCAGAGGTCATCATGACCCAGCCTTGGCCGCGCAGTATGAGCAGGATTTAGAGGTTGCTCAGACCACTGCTCTCCCGGATGAGGATGACGACCTGTGAGGAAGGGAAGCGGGCCGGCGTCAGAAGTCTAGGCAACTGTCCTGTGAGGTGAGCGGTGCCACGCGCGGGCCACTTTGTTATCTACCGAAGCAGACCTGTGCTTCATCTTTGGGATGCGGAAGGAGATGAGTGGGTTTCGGAGTGAGTGTGGCAGTTAAACCCTCGGTTTTTTTGGACCTGCATAGTTAGCTGTTTGGAACGCCGTTGTTTTCCTTGAGTTTCAAATACAAGACTGCTGCAGTCACATCACAATACTTGGTTGGTGAAATCTTGTTACTGTCATTCCCATTCCTTTTCATTTAGAATCAGAATAAAGTTGTATTTCAAATTAAAAAAAAATACATATTTGTGTGATTCTATTATATGAAAAGTCTGGAATTGGCAAATCTGATGAAGACTCAAAAAGTCATGGTTGTGTTAGGTTCTCTAGGTTGCCAGTGACTGATGGGTGAGGAGACTTCTTTTAGGAGGATGAAAATGTTCTATAATTGTGCATTTGTGCAATTCTGCAACAATGCTGAAATCATTAAATTGTATGATTTGAATGAGTGAATTTCATGGCATGGGAATTATTTCCCAATGAAGATTTTTATAGGAATCCCCCACAAGTCAGAATCTCATAAAATGTTGCATCATGTAAGAGATATGAGCGGGCTGTGGTGGTGCATGCCCATCATCCCAGCACTCGGGAGGCTGAGGCAGGGGGATCACTGGGCGTTCCAGACCAGCCTGGGCTACAATCTGAGCTCAAGGGCAACATGAGTTGCATAGCAAGACCCAGTCTCAAAAAGACCAAAAAAAGAAAAAACAATGTGTACAGTGTTGAGTGGTTCACCACAAGAAATTAGCATCAATTGATTCTATATCTACCTCTTAGCATCTAAGGTTTTATCCCTCTTATTTTAGTGGCTATGAATTTTACAAAACACTGGGGTTTTGTTAATGTTCATAATACATTTCACTCATAGCCATTTCCCATTCTCCTCCGTTGTAGCCCTCTCTCTTTCCCCCTTATTCCTTTTCCTCTTATTTGACAGTACTTTTTACTTTTGTATCTTTTTTAGATTCCACATTCTAGGAGAAACGTATAATGGTTGTCTTTTTTTTTTAAATTTATTTGATACACAGGGTCTTGCTACACAGTTCAGACTCATAATGATCCTCCTGTCTCAGCCTCCCCAGGACTGGGAGTACAGGCGTGCACCACCACACCCAGTTTTTGGGCCTGCATGACATAGTATGGGGGAATTGAACTCAGGATCTCGCACTTGCCAGTTAGCCACTTAGACCACCCAGTTATCTCCCCAGCTCAATAGCTGTCTTTTTCAGTCTGTTTTCTTTTACTCATGATGCCTTCGTGCAGTTCAGACTGGACTTAAACTCACTTTGTAGCCCAGGGTGACCTTGAACTCGTAATGATCCTCCTGCCCCAGCTTCCTTAGTACTGGGATTTCATGCATGCACTCCCATGGTCAGCTCCTATCACTGTTAAAGAGGCTGTCTTTTCATATATCTCCTTGTCCAGAATCAAGTAACTGTAGTTGTGTGGGTTTGTTTCTGTGTTGTCTATTCTGTCTTTTTTTTTTTTAATTTATTTATTTTATTTATTTATTTGTGTGTGTGGCCAGCTCAGCCCGCCTGGGGGAGGGGCTGGCTGGCATGTGGTGCTGGGGGATTGAACCGCAGTCCATGTGCTTTGCTAAGCTTGTTCTAAGTAGGTGCTTTAGACCACTGAGCCATCTCACCAGCCCTGTCTATTCTGTCTTATTAGTCTATGTTATCTATTTTTGTGCCTGTATCATGTTGTCTTTATTTCTATGGTTTTATAGTATAATTTGAAATCATACTGTGATGGTCCCAGCCTATTTTTGCTTAGAATGCTTTGCCTCTTTTGGGTCTTTTATGTTTCCATATGAATTTTAGCTTTGTTTTATTCTAGTTTTGTGAAGAATGTTGTTGATTTTTTGATGGGGATTGCACTAAATTACTTTGCTAAACATAGCCATTTTCACAATTAAAAAAAAAAAAAACCATCTGTTAGCATTTTAATGAGCCCCCTGTCCAGTGGCTTCAAGCTACCAGGACACAGGCCCCCCCCCCCCCAACACCCTGAATCTTCTCCTCAGCTCTTCTGCTGAAGAATTTGGCTTTCACAATGACAGGCTGTATTGGGAGCTTTCCCTTCCTGAGAACTTTGTAGTATCCCGATCACACTCCATCAACTATGGGAGCTACTCCAGTCTTGTTTTTGGCAGCCTTTACTCCTGTCTGCTCTCTGACCAATGTCCACAATTTATCAAGGTTGGGCAGAAGCTCTGGTTTCTCTTTGAGTGGTAATGCCTCATACCAACCTTTCCAAAGTAACCCGGGTGATACTTGTCGAAGTTGATCCTGGGATGATGAATGCCTCCAGCATTTCCCTGGCCTCTGGGGTGCTTCCGGTGCTTGCCAGTGCGGCCATGGCCGTGGCTCACATGGCCCCGAAGCTTCTGGGTCTTCCTTAGTCCGGAGGGCATGTCAGTGGCTGAGACAAAAGCGAGGCTATTTTAACAACATTAATTCTGTCCATCAAGAAGATGGAGACCTTCTAGTGCTTTCTTCAGTTTTCTTTCTTTAGTGTTTTGAAAATTTCATTGTAGAGGTCTTTTATCTCCTTGGTTAGACTCGTTCCTGAGATTTTTGTCTGTTTGGTTTTTGCTTAGGTTTCGTTTGTTTGGTTTTGGTTTTTGTTTAACTATACTGTGAGTGAAATTTTTTTTCCTGAATATCGTTCTTAGCTAATCCATTACTCCTGTATAAAAAAGCTGTTAAATTTTTAATGTTGATTTTCACATTTTGTTGTTACTACTGCTACTTTGCTAAATCTGTTTATCAGCTCAAAAAGTCTTCTGGTAGGGTCTTACAAGCATAGGAGCGTATCAGCTGCAAACAGGATTTTTTTCTTTTTTTTTTTTTGCTTGTTTTGTTTGATACCAGATCTCTCTATGTAGTTAAGGCTAGCCTTGAATTCACTATGTAGCCAGGTGGCCTTGGGTTCACTGTGGTCCTCCACCACCTTGCCTCAGCTTCCTCAGTGCTGGGAATATAGGCATGCACCGCTACACTCAGCTAAATGAGAGTAATTTGACCTCTTCATGTCCTTCTTGGACCCCTTTGATTTCTTTCTTTTGCCAATTGAATTGCTCTACCTGAAACTTGAAGGCTGGTGATGTGACTTAGAGGTAGAGTGCTTACATAGCATGTGTCAGGCCTTGGGTTCATTCCCCAGTATGGCACAAAAGAAAAGAAGGAAGGGAGAAAGAAAATAAATAAGATAGTTTTAGAAGAACTAGAGAGACATATCTGTGGCACAGAGCTTACCTGACAAGTATAAGGTCCTGAGTTTGATTCCCAGTTCCTATGTATTGTTCTGTTAGCCCCTATCTCACTAATTTCAGGTCCAATCTTTATTACTTATTTCCTTATGTTGGGTTTGCTTTTGGTGGTGATTGTTCTTGTTTTTCTTTTCTTTAGAGTGTGAGATGTATCATTAGGTTTTGCTATCAGGGTGATGCTGTCAGGATAGTTTATTTGGTATCGCTTTAAGTTTTTATATAGCATTCATAACTATAAATTTTCTAATTAGAACTGTATTTGCTGTGCCCAAGAGATTCTGTTATGTTGTGTTACCATTTTCATTTTATGCTAGGAATTTTAATTTTTTTTCTGCATTTTCAATGACCCACACTTCATTCAAAAGTGAATTATTTCTGGGGCTGGGGAGATGGCTCAGTGGAATAAGCGCTTCCCTGGCAAGCGCAAGGGCTTGAGTTCGATCCCCGGTTCCGCAAAAAAAAAAAAAAAAAGTGAATTATTTAAAAGAGGAGGAAGAAGGAGGAGGAGGAAGAGGAGGAGGAGGAGGAGAAGAAAGGAGGAAGAAAGAAAGAAAGGAAAGAAAGGAAAGAAAGGAAAGAAAGGAAAGAAAGGAAGAAAGGAAGAAAGAAAGAAAGAAAGAAAGAAAGAAAGAAAGAAAGAAAGAAAGAAAGAAAGAAAAAGAATAAGGAGCCAGGGAGATAGCTCAGTGGAATAAGTGCTTGCCTGGCAGATACAAGGTCCTGAGCTCAATCCCTGGTACCATCAAAAAAATAAGGGAATTGTTCAATTGCCATGTGTTTGTATAGTTTCTTTTGTGGTTGATTTCTAGTTTCATTCTATTATAATTCAGTAAGATGAAAGAAATTCTTTCTTTTTTGGTGGAGGGAGGAGGGGTACTAGGACTCAAACTCAGAACCTTGTGCTTTGCCACTGAGCTATATCCCCAGCCTTTTTTTTTTTTTTTCTTATTTTTAAAAGTCTGTTTTATGATCTAAAGTATGATCTATTTTGGAGAATGCCTCATGAGCTGCTGACGAGAAAGCATGTTTTGTAGTTGTTGGATAAAATGTTCTCTAAATATGTATTAAATTCATTTGATCTCTGGTGTATTTTAACTCTGACATTTCTTCTTTCTTCTTTTTCCCTATTTTGGTCTAGATGACCTATCTACTGGTGAAACTGGAACACTGAAGTTACCCACTACTGTTGTATTGCGACCCCCTCCCTTTATGTCAAATAGTGTTTATTTTATGAAATTAGGCATTGAGGTCTTTAGTGCATGCATATTTGGAAATGTTCTGTCTTCTTGGTGATTGTTCCCTCTGCCAATATGTAGGGGCCTTCTTTGTCTTATCTAATTTTGTCTTCAGGTTTGCCTTGTCAGATATAAGTCCTGCTTGCTTTTTTTTTTCCTTTTTTTATATATTTATTTTTTATTGAGAAATAAATATGAATGAGACAGTTTCACAGCTGGTTAATAGGACAGTTTTGATAGTCAATACACTGTACATTGTTATCTTCTT